TGCTGTGCTTGTTGCACTTGGTAATTCCTTTTTTTCCTTCCAGTCCTTGTGCTCCTGGTTCGTTGTTGTTGTTGTTGCTAGTATTACTATAACCCTGTCAAATCATATGGCTATATACTCATGTTTGGACACAACATGACTAATGACAACACCAATGACAACAACTACGTCGACTGCGACTACAACCTGTGCACATAACCCCACACACAAATTTTTTGTTTGCCGAAGGGTCCGCGCATTCTTGCAATCTGCTTGGCCAATGTCTTTGCTCGTCCGCACCAATTGCAGACAATTGTGTAGCCAAAAAATAGCAAAGGTAAACAATGCTTTTCAAGTGTTAAACCGTATAAAAAAAATAATATGCACGCGCAGAACGTAATACTAACTAGATTTACGGATTTTCTCGCTTTGTATGTACATGTGTTCGTCTCTATGTACATATATGTGCATATATATATATGCATATATGTGTATATATACATCCGTGTATGTGTGCGCCCGCGCGTGTTTGAGGATGTGTGCGTGTCTTCATTTTAATGTTACCCTCCACCATTTCAACTTTCACAAGTGGTGATGCCACATCGCGGTTTCTTTGGCGCCAATTTTAAATATTGTGCACTCTTAATTAGCTGCTCCGAGATTACATTGTAGATCTGCTGCACGATATTTATTTGTTTAACTTCATTTCAAAACCATAAAATCCCTTAAGAATCAATCACTTTTTTTCGAACTTCACTTAAATTCCAATTACAGTAACCAGAACCACTTGTTACACATACAAGAAATAAAATAAAACAATTGAGTGCATCATTTGCTTGATTGTCAAGCAAGGATCTATTTAAGTAATCTTTCTCTCTCGCTCCCTCTCTGTCATTCTCTATTATGTCACATAGATCATATATACATTCATGTACATATACATATACATATACATATATATATATATATACAAATTTATATTTATGTAAATAATACTCACCCGCAATACTGGATCACGATGCAGGGGCTGTGGATAGTTGATGGCATGTATACGATGACGTCCAAACAATCCAGTTGCAAAACTTTGCGCACTTTTTAGCGTTCGTTGCGTGGCCGTGTACTTCATATAAAACCATTCCGGATCATATAAATCCGGCAAGAGCTTCGGAAAACGCAGTTGAAAACGTTCAGCGAGCTCGATTAACTCATCTTCGCCCTCGGCAACAAGCAGTTTCTCATCGTCCGGCTCGATGTGCGACCAGCTCCAGCGACGCAGTCGCTTGAGTTCATCATCACACAAATTCGATTCAGATTGGGCGAGAATCTGCGTTTGTATTTCGGACAAACGTTCTTTAGCTTGTAATATAACCGACTTGCTGGGATTGCGCGTGCCATGGCGAATAATTGCCCAAATTCGTGTCGGGTGGCAACCTTTAGAATAAAACGAAGCGAATGAGTATGTGCAGTGAGTAAACAACAGTGAGCAAACAGCTGTTGTTCTCGCGTTTTCTTCACTTTAGCAATATCTTGTATATGTGGTATAATAAAACCAACAATAACAGCATACCATCGTAGTACGGCGGCGTTTCGTTGTAATTGGCAATGGCGCGGTATGGCGTCTTGGTTGATAGGCGGCGTTCGATTTCATGACGTTCCAAATAATTACAGGCAGCCTCATCAGCTGTTGTCAGTTGCGGCAGTACAAAAAGAAGCGCTGGTATTAGCCAAAAATGTAAATTAAGCATTTTCTTCCCGTTGCGTTGAATGGGACAGCAAAATTTGTCAGTTCAATGTGAGAGTTAAAATTTATGTATGAACTAATTACAAAACGTAAAACATTTATGTTAAATTTTGTAAAAAAAAAAAACAAACAAAAAGTGACTGCACACGCAAAAACGCTGAACGTGTTTGCCAAACGGGCTAAATACAAATGAATATGTTATTAAAAGAGAGGCTGCAATTGATATACTATGACATGCTGATACAGCTAACAGACAGTCACACTCAGAGACACACACACACACGCATACGCACGCACACAAAGGCGCAGAGGCATACACTTGCGCACATTCGCTTAGTCAGTTGACCATCTGTTAGCAGTCTGGCAGCACTCTGCGAAATATATTCGATTACTCGATACAATGCGAGCGAATGCAAATACCGCGTCACAGCAATTGCGCCGTTCGAATTGCATGTATCAATACTATATAATCCAATGAATTAAATTCAAAGGAATCACAACACAATGGGTTAGTAGACAAATAATTAGATTAATTTAAGCAGAATTTAACGAAACTCAACTTTTGAATCCAACAGTACCTGTTGCTAAGAAGCCAACAATTGCCGCCAAAAGGACACTGCGGTCCACGACTCGCGCGCAAACCAAACAGAAACTGGATAATAAAAATGCATCGGACGAGCGGATCAATGAAGCTCCCGAGAAGAGTGAAGAGCCAAGCACTTCAATGGGATCGACGCGATCGACAAAAGTTAAATTGACTAAAAAGAGGAAGGAAGTGGCCGAGAGGCCGAACGCCAAACATGGGAAACGCAGTCAAACAAAGCAGCTGCTAATTAATAACAATAACAATAGCCATAGCCATAACAATAACAATAACAATAATACTAAGAATAACAAAAGCAATAACAATAACAATATCGAGAGCTTGCTTATAGAACCGCTGCCAATGGAGCGATACAAACTGCTAAAGGCTTTTTGCATGCAAGTGTCCAAGTCGGACGCAGAGCCGCAGCAGCTGACAACGGCCGCGGGCTACACGCAGCAGCAGCTGCAGCAGTTCCTGTCGAACTCCACGCTCAAGAAGATTCTGCCTACATCCGTGATCTTTGCCAGCCCGAGCTGTGCTCAGGTGCGTGCTGAGATTACAAAATCAAATTCCTAGCTAATGCTTGCATCATTTCAGCATTTAAGGCAATTGGTTAGACTGATCGACGCTTTGGATGTGGTCAAGCTGGAGGAGCTATTGGATCTATATCACCTGGCCATTGACATGCAGAAATACGAACAGCTAAACACCCATTGCCAGGGCAAGCGCTGCGAGCTGCTGCACGCCGTGAGCTCTTTGGCCGTGCAACTGCAACCGGAGTACATTGAATATATTGCCATTTGTCTATGCGATCGTCTGATCATTGGCGCTGGCAAGGAGCGCATGCAACGTGTTATCGATATGCATGGAGCGCTGGTGCAGCTCATTGCCGACAGCGACGTTAGTCGCCGTATCGCCATGACCATCCTGCTGGCCACCTTTGCCAAAATCTCGAGACTCGAGCTGCCCACACAAAACGGAGATATTGTAATATACGTCTATATACCTTCAAATCTGTATCCCATTCTAACTGCTATCGATTTCAGATAGCACTCGCCTTCGACCTGGTCAAGCGCGTCGACTGGATGCGCTTGATAGTCGATGGCTGCCAGCCGGATATGTTTGCGCTGCTGCGCAGCTTCGCGCTGATCATCAATACGCACGCGAACCGCCTCGCACATCCGCTCAAGGACATCGCCATTGAGATCCACACCTTTTTCATGCAGCTGTTGCGCAATATGCACTTTTCCAGCAAATATAACAGCCTAATCATGATGGTAAGCCCACAGGTTTTCTCTCTTATAGTTAATTATTCATTCTTCTTCTTCCCATTTGCCCATATATCGAATTCAATTTCCTGTTCAAATGCCACGAATCTTTGTCTATGTAGTATGTCGGACAAATATGCGTGTATATTCGATCTATACGACCCGTCTACTAAATCCTATATGTATACCGTTACTTATCAATTTTTCAGATGGAACGTTTCATTGTATTTTGCATTGTACGTGGAGCGACAGCGAGGTAAGTTGCATCAAAGAGATATATAAATGAAAGGAGAAAGTGGAGGAAAATGGAGGAGAAAGTGTCATAAGCGAAATCGTTACTAGCCAATCGATCACTCGTTAGCCGTCAGGCTTCCCTGGTCCTTCAGCACTCATCACCTAATAACCCATCAATCGTCATTTATCATTAATCTCTCGCATTCATCACACATCATAATTCTTCTACTTGTATTCGGCTTTCGTTTTCTTGTCTCTTGCAGCTGTCATTCTACACATGTGTTTGACGCCGGATCTCAATCGAGCAGCTAACTGAACAGCCAAAACATTCTATTTATTAAGAAATTGCAGTTATAATTAGTTAAGTAGTTTTTTTTTCAATTTGTTGCATTTGTTACTAAGGCCAATTTAGTTTTTTAGTTAAGTTCACGGTGTTCAACAAGTGTGCGAAAGCTTTTGATTATTTATTTTTTTTTTTTTTTTTTGTATGTGGGGTTAGGGCCAAAAAGCTTCAGACCTCCCATAAATTTGGGGGGTGGGCAAGCCTAGGCGGGTTTTCGGCATTTGGTTTGGCTTGGCGGCGACAGAAATTTTGTTGTTTTTAGTCGCGTTTCGGCCAAGCAAAGTGACGGATAACCATTTTGATATTAAATAGATAAATTAATTTGAGAAATAAGATAATTGAATAAACATAAAGTTGCTGTGAAAAGGATATTTTTTAATCAATTGTGCACCGTTTGTTACGGTTTTCTTAAAAAATTGTATTTCTTCTTTTTGCCTAGCATATGGCGCCGGAAAATGCGCCGCCGCGCGTGCTGTTGGTTTATAGCGCCAAAAACTAATCAAAGGTAATGGTTAGCTAACGGTTTCAGCCGTTTCTTAGTGCCCCACCCACCGGCTCCCATCATCGAACAGCTAGATATAATCCTTTTCGTACACACACACAATTTGTTTGTTATTCGCACGCAAAGGCAAAACAATTTCGCGAGTCTTTAGTGCGTAGTGGCACGCCACCTGTTGGCTATTGGCGGCGAATGTGCGTATGCCGTTATGCGTATGCGGCGGGCAGCTTAAATTGCGTTGCTGAGCGAATCACTGATCGATAAATGACAGTTGTTTATGCATGGCATTAACGTTATTAGGCGAAGCCGCCCTTATCACCGCCGTCGCTGTCTTTTGATAACGGCAAAAATATCTTAAGTCATTGGCTTAGAAGCCCGGTTTGGGGCGGAGCGTGCAACCACGTGTCGTGACCAGCGTGACACGAGCTGTCGTCATTTATTTAAACGCCTTAAGCTATGCCATCAAGCTTCACCAGGCGCTGCCAGATATGAATTTACAATTTGAATTTTCAAATAAAAAACTCAAAACTATAACGGTCTGGCAGCACTAGCAACAAGAGTTAATATATCAAAACAAAACAAACAAAAATCAATTATGAAAGATAATCGTCTAAAGCTCATTTATGTAAACATTCTCCAAAGCTTTATTTTTAATTAACTTTCGGGCATATCAATAAAACATATCAGAAAATTGTTTAAGAAAAAATCAAAGGTCCGTAACATTTCAAGTACTTACTAATACGAGTTCTTGAGTATGATTAATTTGTGCCGAAATACATGTGTTTATTTATTTCTATACTTTTTTTCATATCGCTTATCGCCAGCAGGCGGTAAATTAATTTTGTTATTGCCCTTTTCGCTTGGCCAATGGACAACACGAAAAATGTTGAAAAAAAGCAAGAAGAAACGAAATGAGAATGATACGTTGATCACGCAGCGATAGTACTAACGCGAAATGATGGATTGATAGAACGTCACAAATGGCGCATTCTATTTTGTTGTTGTTGTCCCCCCTGTCTCTTTCTCACTCTCTCTCTCTTTCTCTCTCTATCAGCAACTTTATCATAGCGACAGGCAGGCTGGCAAAGGCTCAATATCTAAGTATGTGTGAAACGTGCCCAAATACAGTCGAGTCTCGATAATTTGTTCCCCGCTAAATCGAAAATCGCGATAAATCAAGCAAATTCTATCCCCTTGAAAGAAATTCGTTCTCAATAATTCAAATTTCTGGGTGAATCGAAAAACTGATCCCCTTACTATTTGGAATTAACGGGATTCTACTGTAGTTTCAAGACATGTTAATGCGAGCGCGCTGTATATGCGTGCATACATGTGCGTGTGCGTGTACGTGTGTCGTGCCTGCACTTCCTTGTGTAAGCAGAAAGGAGCTTTTAATGCGGCCGGCTGTTAAATGGTTTTCGTTTTGTTTTGTGCTCGCCGTTTTCTATGCTTGTATGTGTGTGTGGGTTTGCCGTTAGCGCGCGTCGAACCGTGTGCGCTGGCGTCGCTGCCGCTGGCGGCCGCCTGCTTAAAAGCAAAGGACAGCTCGCAACGTTCAGTACGTAACGAGAAGTTGCCTCGCGCGGTTTGGCAGCACACGCAAGCCATACGAATACTGAGCGAGCGGAGAAGAGAGCGCGCAACTTTTAATGTAACTGTTGTTCAAAACCAACCGCTCAGCAGGCCAATCACAACTAGCTCGAGTTGTCCAATTGGCAACCCAGCGAAACCAATTGCAAAGCAAATGCAACAAAAAAATATAAAAATAATAAAAAAAAGTAATAAAATGTAAATTAACTTGTTTGACAATGCAAAATGCAAATTGATTACATTTTTTAATCTTTTTTCTGTAACACAATTTTTTTTATTGTGTTGCCAACGAAGTGTGTGAGTGTGAATGAATATTATTTTTTGTTTTTGTTTTATGTGCTAAGTACTAAGATGAGAAGCATCTCGAGATCAAACTAACACGCCTGCCACGGCTTCTAAAAGCCTAAGGCGCAGCTGCGGTCCACGCAGAACTAGTTTGAAAAAAAAAAAAAAAAAAAAAAAACAATAAATAAATAAAATAGCGAAATTCTCACATCCAATCAAATCTCAATTAAACATTCGTAAATATTATATATAGTATATAAACGTGTTGGCCCTGATCGCGAATTGAACAGCTGTTTAGCAAAAATATATACATACATACACATATGTATATTTGTATATATCTGGAGTATTTGGCATATTCAAAAGAATTTTGTTTTTTTTTAATAATCTTGTATAATGATCCAATCCATCCAGTTTAGCTTTACTGTTTCTAAGCATCTAGATCAAGTTTCATTAACATATTAATGCTCTTCAAAGTTTTTGTTTTATTATATTATACTATTACACATACGCCGCGTTGACCACACCAAAAAGAAAAAAAAAAAAAAAACAAAACAAATAGAAAAGAAAACAATAGAATATATTCACTGTTTCTAAGCATCTAGATCAAGTTTCATTAA